AATAATAATAATAATAATAATAATAATAATAATAATAATAATAATAATAATAATAATAATAGTAATAATAATAGCAGCACCAAATGCACCCATCAGTGGCTTTATGGTTCCAACCTAAAAGCAGAAACTGAAGGTCTCTTAATAGCCGCACAGGACCAAAGCGAATACAAAGCTAAAATAATGAGAGACGGTACTGAACCTCTCTGCTGCATCTGCAAGAGATCAGATGAGACAATAGATCATCTTATTGCTTGTTGTCCGGTCTTAACGCATACGATTACAAGGTAGGGCGTTGGCTAGGTCGGTACATACATTGGAATGTATGCAGAAACTATAAGATCAAGGTAGCCACCAACCTCCTGAAGTCACCAGTGCCAAGAATGTGACAATCCTTTAGAATTTTACAATCCATACCGATCGGACCATCAAAACAAATAAGCCTAACATTGTTATCAAAGATCGAAAAGCAAAAACTTGTATGACCATCGACATGGCAGTACCCCATGACACCAACATCTCGGTCAAAGAATACAAAGATCTGGAAATCGAAATCACTAAAGTGTGGCACTTACCTTAGTAATGCTTACCTTAGAAAATTTTAACACGCTGTTGTACCTTCTCAAGTTTTATAATATCTTGTTGTAAGTACGGAGATCACACTTGCACAGCATACACCATAATTGGACATACAAGAGAGGCATAACGCGCTATGAACATCTGCTTATCAATATAAGTAAAAGAGTTGCGAATCTGACCAATGTCTCTATATTAGCTTTCGCTGTGACTTTCGAAACTTGTGTCGAAACTTCTTTTTCTACATAATGATATATTTTTACATCGCTTTTAAAGGAAATCACTTACAATTTAATAATGATATATTTTTATACTATTTTTAAAAACTATAAAATAATTTATTGGTGTTTTGTTTTTGTTTTTTTTAATTTATGAATGTGCTGTTTTTGCTGTTTGCTCTGCTTTGTGTCTCTTTTGTAACTTGTTTGTTGTGATGAGGACTCCCCTGAAAATCAGCCTTGCTGTGTGGGACATTTCCTCTTGAAATATTAATAAAAGAAAGAAAGAAGAAAGAAACATTAAAATTGAAAGTAATGTAAACTCCAAGATCTTTCTCTGCACAGGTTGTGTTCAGAGATGCGATATCTATCGAGTAGGTATAATGTGATTGTTCTTTCCAATATGCATTACTTTGCATTTAGACTTATTGAATTATTCAATTAACCACTTCTTACTCCATTGAACCAGTTTACTTAGATCTTGCTATCTCTATCACTGAGCGAGTCAATCTTTCGAAAAATATGACATCGTCTGCAAATAATTTTCCATCAGATTCAATTCCTTCGAATAAATCGTTAATGTAGACCAGAAATAAAGCTGGACCAATCACTGTGCCTTGTGGGACGCCACTAGATACAGGCAACCAACTTGAAGCAGAACCTTTAATAGATACACTGCCTTAAAGATCAGCAGCAGTACCACCATACAGCACCACCAGCGGCATCGGTAGCGGCAGCGGTAGTGGTAGTGGTAGTGATACAAATAATTATCGTGAGGTCATGCTTGGTTTTCAGTCGGTATTTCGGTCGGTAAATCTACATATTTCAGGCAGTAGTTTGTCATTATGTTTGTTGATTATAGTTGTTCTTATTAAAATGTTTAAGTATACTTATTTAGGCTGTAATATTATGTTTCATTTTTAAAGATTTTTCTAAGCTCCCTGTATTCCTTTGGCTAGCTTCAAGTTTTATTGTTCATGCTACATGTGAGGGCTCATCAAGTATGTCACTGTCCATTGTTCTATTCTTACACTGCAGCGTAGCTTTTTTACCTAATGATTACCCATAGTTTTAGTTAAAGTTGTAGATAATTAATTCAAAAGCTTATCTAATGAAATAAACCTAATTAAAAGAGTTTCTCCCAAAGTACAGAAATTCCTCTTTGGATAAAGTTGAAACTAGGCCTAATACAAAAACAAATTCTATTTTATTTGAGATAATTATTGAAAATATAGGCCTATATAAAAACATTTAAAAATTCAAGATCAAATACATAAACAATAATAAGCTTCTGTTCTTTTGACTTCGGCTAAAAATGCGTTTTTGTCTTCATTTATAATGAAAAATTATTTATCAAATGGTTTGATTTGAATTAATTTAATTATTTGTTTTTATTTTATTTTTTACACGAGCCAGATTTAATAGCTCCATGGGCCGCCTATTAAAACCCATGGGTATAGACCTACTACATGTGTTACTTCGTATAAACCTATCTTGTCAAATTTTCCCCTTAACCGTGGGAATTTCTGTTTTGTGTAAACTTTCATAAAGGATTTCTGATCTATGTCATAACATACGCCCTTGTTTTTTGAGTAGTTTATCTATTCATATGCATCCGAAAGCTGAATATTTTTTTTAAAAGTAATATTTGGTGGATTGGATTTATTTGGTGTAAACACCAAGGATAATCCACGAAAGTTTGAAGAAGACTTATTTCCGGTGGGGGTCCTTCTGTTGGTGATTGAGTACACCGGGAGACAATCCCCTATTCTTTTCCGAATAGTGTAGCGTTCTTTAACCTGCACACGGGCCATAATGCACACGGAATAAACTCATCCGAAAGACGGTGCGCTATCGTAACTTCCATTTTAGACGCCTCCAGCTGAAACACAAGGGGAGCAGCAGTGGGAATTGAACCGGAGACCTAGGAGATCTCCACGGTTCAGCGCACACATAGTTTAGCTAAGCTAAGCTGCTCTCTCTCTCTCTCTCTCCCTCTCTCTCTCTCTCCCTCCCTCCCTTTCTCCCTCTCTCTCACTCTCTCTCTCTCTCTCTCTCCCTCTCTGATTAATCTCGCATTATGAAACAATATTGGGAACATGTAATTGTATTTTAAATACATTACTGCTGAGTTCATAATTATAACTGAAACTTTAATTTTGTCATACCTAAAGTGCAAATGTTTTGATAGTATATTATTTAACATTAAGCTATTGATAACGAACGCATTACAAAAGTAAACTTTACCGTATATTTTTTTTAATTTAATTTGTATTAATATATATTATTATAAATTTAGGAGGCCCCGTCCCGACAGGGTGTGTGTAGACCTATCATTGTGAAATTTCAAGTTGAGAAAGTGCACTATTTTCGAATGACTCTAAAGTAAACTAATTAAGGGATCCGAGGATGGGATCAAAATCAGCGGGCTTAGATACAACTATAGTGTCATCAATGAGCCGAGTATAAAACTTAATAATACTTAATTGTTGTAAATTCGGAATTATGTTCTGTTCTGTTCTAGTTCGGTCATAATAATATTAGATAATTTATTTATTTATTTTTTCTTGTTTATTATTAAAACATTTTGATTTTGCAGCACAGGCTGAATTGCATCAAAATTTACATGGTTAAAACAATACAAAGAGAAACAGAAACGCTAAAATGATTAATAACAATTAAAACGATCAGTAAAAAAACCCCAACATCAATTAAGTTGAAACCTTACTTAGTTTGCAATTTTGCATCATTAATTACATTTGAGTTGAACAAGTTAATTATATAAGGGATGGTTGATTTACGGAAACGTTACCCATTGATACTCCATCACAAATTGCTTATACTCATTATTACAAGAAAATATCGCTTTAGTGCAGGTATTTTTAAGTACCGGTAGTTTACGTAGAGTACCGGTAGTTTTCTTAAGGATGGTGGTTACCAACTTTTGATTGTATACCCTGTCAAGTAGAATATTAATTACTTTAATTAACGGAGCATTAGTAAAAGATTATTCTACATCAAATGATACAAAACGACAACCGACATGAAAAAGGTGAGAGGGTATCTCCTTGGTGGGATGAGCAGCGTCAAAGGGATCTTTTAAAACATAGGTGTTGTCGGCTAATGGACACCTTATGTAGGCACCTTCTGAAGAATGTTACTTCTTTTTAGTCTACCTTGTCTATATATGTATATATATATAATATATACATATATATATACACATATAATATACATATATATATACAGTGAGAAATCGTAGGTTCAATCCCCGTCAGGATTACATTTTAAGCAATTGATAAAGGATATTTTCGTTGATGCTATTCTCGATATATATTTTTATATTATTTACATATTATTTTTAAGTGTATGCATAACGTAACAGTAACATATCCACAGTTATCATTGCTATTGGTATAATGTTTTTAATTTATCATTTCATTACCACTCAGGGATGGATAGTTTTCTATGGATTTTGATTAGTCGCCAACATCACCACCCGTCAGAAACATAAATGTTCTACGCCAAGTTTTTAGTACATCACTGCGGAATTCATTCATCTTTGCTCCGTAAATGATCGGGTTGATACACATATTGCATGTTTGGATGAGAACCGTAATCTCGTGTGCAACAATTGTACTGAATTCGAAACACCTGCAAATATTATACACCAAATATATAATGGCGTTAGGAGAAGTGGTAAAAATAAATCCAATAACGACGAAAAACATCGTGTACACAAGATTTCTTTGCATTGATACGTGATATGATCTTTTATTTGGTTTATCTGCGCCTCCTTGGTTACTCACAACGGTCTGTTGTCGTGCCTTTGCCCTTTTACGGAACACCAGCAAGATCCGACCGTAGCAGTAAGACATAAAACATGCCGGGAAGAAAAAAACCAGTCGTAAAAAGGAAAAAGCCCGAAAAAAGTTTGAATTCAGGATTTGATTTAGTATACTGACACTCTCCGATTAGATCCTCGTTGATATCGGTGATAATCGCGAAATGAAATGTAATCAAGAAAGAAGTAATGTATGGCAATGTGTAAAACAGTCGAGATCTTTTTACAATGTTTCTTTTTCTATAAGTGATCGGATGCACAACCGCAATAAATCGTTCGAAGGTTATCATCAGAAGATTGTACGTGGACGTTATTACAACAAACCAGAAAATACTACGGCACTTGCAAAAAGCTTTTCCCCAGTTTCCACTCGGTGCGTCTTGATTATAGAATATAAGGAACAGACAGCAACCAAAGAAATCTACGAACAATTGCTGGACAATTAATCCGTGTAGCAATGACTTTCTATACATTCGTGTGTACATGAACACTCCAGTGACAACACTGTTGAGAACGATTCCAACACCCATGACCACGAATCGCAGAGTTATCAGCCACGCGTTGTCATGGAGTAAGTCCTGCAGTGCTTCGGGTGTAGTTGAAATATTATTTACTGCCTCAGCCATGGTATAAATCTGCAAAAAGGTGAAAAATATATTTTTAAAATAAATTTTAAAACCTAAACCTTCCACTTATTTAGGTGATGAATTACTTAAATTTATTCTCGTTTGAATGCTAGAATAACAGCCTTGGTTGAGACCGGACCCTAATATCTAGATTATAAATAAACAAACAAACAAAATCCTTTTCAAAATATTAGGCGACAAACTATAGCTAAAATATCAAACGTTTCTAACAACAGGAAATAAAATGCTTGTCTATGATGTTTAGTAAATTATGGTAGAATTAACTTACATTCACAGCTATTATATGCCTACATGAATTTAAAAAATAAATTTAATAAAAAAAAAATACATGTATTTAAAGAACCTATTGTTGGAAGCCCAAGAAACTGCTTTGAAGACGTGAATGTTTCAGATAACAATCAGTTTGAGTAGTTAACTCCCAATGAACTAATATGACTAATTATGTGAAATATTCTTCAGATTAATACCATTGGGAATAAAGGAAAGTATCGTGGTAGTTTCGCAAGACTGTAATTTGTAGTACCGAGAATTTCATTAGTAAGGGCCCAAATATCAATTGACAAAAAAATAGTTATATTATGATGACATGAATAATACCACTGGAGGGCTGTTCCTGTAAATCCAGAATGTGACTTCAGTCTTGTGCACAGGATGTCAAATGCTGCAGATAGAACTAACACCAGATTTTGCCACAGTCTAGAGCGTAGTGGAGATTCTTTAGCATGCAGTGCTGAAGATCATGTTGTTGTCAGTGTCATGCGGAATGAGCTGACATGTAGCAACAATCTCAATCATTATGAAAATAAAACTGAGGTTCTGGTTCTGGTGGATAAAGCCGACCCCCCAAGGACTCTTAAAGTGTAGGTGTATGAGAGGAGAGGCCAGAGAACAATAATATCTGTTTGTGAGCGGGCTTTGAAACATGCGCACATTTCTTGAGAAGAGTCCATTATTAAGTCCACTATTTTACCAATACACTACATTTAAAATTGAAGAGGGAGTAAAATAATCGTATTGTTGGGAGCGGAAAAACAATTATTTATTTAATTATATGTACGATTGTTGCATATTAGTTTATGACTAACACAATGTTTTGTGATTTCTATACATAATAGTAATATTACATTATGAACGACTACAAATAATGTTGATAATAATAATAATAATAATAATAATAATAATAATAATAATAATAAATATGAAAAGCTTAATTAAAAGACCTAATACATACCTTTTTTCCCCAATAGGCCAAACAGTCTTTTCCAACTAAGAACTCAACAACACCTCTTATTCCGTTACATGTATTGTTCTAAACGAGGAAATTGCAGGAGTTTATATGCATACCGCGGCATACTAATAAACAAAGTGCAGTTATGGCAATTCATAACATAACCAACGTACTGTATGTACGAAAATAATACACAAGACTTAATGTAGTTCACAGAACCCCTAAAAAGTTTGTAAGAAATACATTCAATTCAGTTCAATTTTATTTTATTAAAACTCTATCTCGCAGCATAGAGCTGAATTACATGAGTGTAACATTGTTAACATAATAAACATTGTTAAAGAATTAAAATTGATACAAGATCGAATAATATATTTAAATGTACTAATAATTTAAAATTACTTAAAAACATTTAAAATTTGATATAACCTATAATATAACACAAAACGAAAATCTGGTTGCACATAAAATTAGGCCGGAATCGCATAAAATAATTAAAAAGTGATGACCTCACTAAAATTTTGAATTTGCAGATGAATATTACAATTAAAAATGCATCCATATTATACAGCACAATCAGAGCATGTCTATATATATATATATATATATATATATAATTAAAATTTAACTTCAATTAAGCTCCTAAGTATATCCTCCTACAATATATTTTAATAATAACTATCTTTGCCGCATATTGTTAATGTTGTTATTATAACTACATGGCCATGTGATAATTATTGTAGTTAATAAGTTTAGCAGCGACCTACTATCTTTTCTAGCTTATCTATAGCTCCATTATGTGCGTGCGTTTTAGTCAGTTATGAAAAAAGTGCCTAGGGTTCGATCTGCACGTGTCTACGTAGTATAATGGGTATGATAAAGTGCAAGTATAAACTGTATAACACGGTCTATCATTTTTGCACCTTATACTATTATAATTATTGTACAGTGATTCACTCCAAATATATTAGATAGGCCTACCATATGTTTCTTTATTTTAAGTGGATTTTTGCGGGGGTAGGTATTCGAGGAAGCTTATTATTTTTATATTTTTGGTATAAAAATGATACACTACTCAAATAAACGACCCTTCACTTGATGACTTCCCGTCATATAAATGATGTTATTATTTTCATCAGAAAGCCCAGCATATTGAAATGAACAAAACTGAAATGTTTTGATAGTAGGCCTATATTATTTAACATTAAGCTATTGATAACGAACGTATTACAAAAGTAGGCCTAAACATTTGTTTACCGATTGTATTTTATTTCATTTGTCAATTTTCCGAATAGTGTAGCGTTCTTTAACCTGCACACGGGCCATAATGCACACGGCATAAACTCATCCGAAAGACGGTGCGCTATCGTAACTTCCATTTTAGACGCCTCCAGCTGAAACACAAGGGGAGCAGCAGTGGGAATTGAACCGGAGACCTAGGAGATCTCCACGGTTCAGCACACACATAGTTTAGCTAAGCTAAGCTGCTCTCTCTCTCTCTCTCCCTCTCTCTCCCTCTCTCTCCCCCTCTCTCTCTCTCTCTCTCTCTCTCTCTCTCTCTCTCTCTCTCTCTCTCTCTCTCTCTCTCTCTCTCTCTCTCTCTCTCTGATTAATCTCGCATCATGAAACAATATTGGGAACATGTAATTGTATTTTAAATACATTGCTGCTCAGTTCATAACTATAACTGAAACTTTAATTTTGTCATACCTAAAGTGCAAATGTTTTGATAGTATATTATTTAACATTAAGCTATTGATAACGAACGCATTACAAAAGTAAACTTTACCGTATTTTTTTTTAAATTTCATTTGTATTATTATATATTATTATAAATTTAGGAGGCCCCGTCCCGACAGGGTGTGTGTAGACCTATCATTGTGAAATTTCAAGTTGAGAAAGTGCATAGAGTCACTATTTTCGAATGACTCTAAAGTAAACTAATTAAGGGATCCGAGGCTGAGATCAAAATCAGCGGGCTTAGATACAACTATAGTGTCATCAACGAGCCGAGTATAAAACTTTATAATTCGGAATTATGTTCTGTTCTGTTCTAGTTCGGTCATAATAATATTAGATAATTTATTTATTTATTTTTTCTTGTTTATTATTAAAACATTTTGATTTTGCAGCACAGGCTGAATTGCATCAAAATTTACATGGTTAAAACAATACAAAGAGAAACAGAAACGCTAAAAAGATTAATAACAATTAAAACGATCAGTAAAAAAACCCCAACATCAATTAAGTTGAAACCTTACTTAGTTTGCAATTTTGCATCATTAATTACATTTGAGTAGAACAAGTTAATTATATAAGGGATGGTTGATTTACGGAAACGTTACCCATTGATACTCCATCACAAATTGCTTATAGTACTCATTATTACAAGAAAATATCGTTTTAGGGCAGGTATCTTTAAGTACCGGTAGTTTACGTAGAGTACCGGTAGTTTTTTTAAGGTTGGTGGTTACCAACTTTTGATTGTATACGGTACCCTGTCAAGTAGAATATTAATTATTTTAGTTAACGGAGCATTAGTAAAAGATTATTCTACATCAAATGATACAAAATGACAACCGACATGAAAAAGGTGAGAGGGTATCTCCTTGGTGGGATGAGCAGCGTCAAACGGATCTTTTAAAACATAGGTGTTGTCGGCTAATGGACACCTTATGTAGGCACCTTCTGAAGAATGTTAC